TTCGTGCACCTCCTATTAAATACCAAAAAGTGTTAGTTACTGATTTTTATTAGCATAAGAATAGTTTTCAACAATTTTGAAGCAAGTAAAAAAATTCAAAACATAGCACAACTGCTTCTGAAACTGTTAATGTATGTACCATATTTGGGTATGTCCATATTCTGATCTCTGGCAAATGTATTTTATTGTAATTAGTTAGCTACAACATTAAAGAGAACATTATTTATATATACATTTCGTGTCCCCATGCCAATGTCTGAGCTTTACTGTGGATGAACTCACTCAACAACAATTGGCTTGAAAATATTTTGTACAGATACTAAAAATCAGATCTGAAAAAGGTACAAGACCTGGACTACTTTTCTGCGTGCTGAAGGCAATTCATCTGCTTACCTATATTTTTATATATAGGTCTTATAAATAAGGTTTCTGCTGCGTGTTTATACATGGTGGTTTTGTATCTTGTTTCACATTCATCCACTTATCAAAAAAGTTTTTGAAGAATTCAGCACAAAGGACTTCAAACTGTCATTAGGGTCTGTCAACACAGAATTTATAGTTTATCTCAGCGCAAGCACAAATAGTTCCTCCTCCTGCCTGGAGTGCTATTGGATACATTGCTTTTCATATTCCACCTTAGCCAGTAAGTCTATGGGGAACAAAGAACAAATATATTACCTATCACAGGTGACAGGGATGCTAAGCAGCTAGCCTCCGATCAAGTTATTGGCTAAAGGAACAGAATAAAGAGCAGATGCAGCTATGCAGAGGCAGCCAGTATTTAGGGACCCATCTTCGTTGCATTGTTTGCATAGATTTTATGTTTTACTAGGAATTACAGTGCTCGGTACATGCTTTAGCTAGTATTCTCAACTGGAATTTCCAGCAGTTACAAAATAAAATCACCAATCTACAAGAGGCCTGAGGTTTCTGCATACTTAACTCGTCCACCCTTCAGCAGCCACAGCTTGTGTACACTGGACACTTCTGTAATCCTGCACACAGGAATCACAAAAAGGCTTCAAAGTCTATACCAACAGTAAAATAGACAAACGCAAGCTCCTTGTTTTTAACGGAGTTACCCAGTTTGTTAAAAATTTTTGATTTTTTTTTTCCTATGTCACTGACTAAAACAACAAAAGGTGTGAAGCATGCTATTGTGACAAGAACTCAAATTCAAAAAGTTTTTCACAAATTAGTTTGACTACTCCAGGATGAGAACAAAACTTGCTTTCCATGAAGCGTTTAAATATTCTGCCCTTTGAAAAGGGCTGTCCTTCATCAAATAATATAACTACAACTTGCAAAAATGAAAAATAGTAGAAATGTTCATTTCTATATGAGAACAAGTTCGTAAGAATAGACAGAAAACAAATTATGTTGAATGTGGCAATGCCTTGTAATAATTTAGCACATAGCTCCTCAAATCGAAATTTAAAAATTCTCTCACACCAGTTATGGATAGCCTCTACAAATTATCTTAGCAGAATAAAGAGCAAGTATTCAAACAGAAAACTCCTTTTAGTCTTGTATTAAGAGTTCAGTTTGTTGGACCTGTCCTTATTTAGCCATATAATACATTGGAAATGTATTAATTCACAGTCTCCAAACTGGCACAAAACCTACTAATTTTCCCTTTTAAATGCGGATCATGGAAAAAAGTAATCATGATATTTCCCAGAACAGTATCTGCCCAGAATTAATTTAATACTGCAATTTTACAAGAACAAACAGATGTCAGAAACCTGTGACACAGATTAATTTGCAATTTAGACCAACATGTTATCATTAACTTTCCAAGTTAACAACTCCCCTGCTCAACTCACAAAAAAACCCTAAAAATCCAATATCCAGAATTTTAGACAAGTTCTGTTTAATTTTTTATTTCATTTCTGAAGATTCCCTATAGGCTCATAATCCCACATCAATATAACTGATAGTAGCTTATATTTTTTAAACTGAGAAACTAAATCTTAATACGTAAACAGTTGAAGATGTAGATAAAGCATGTTTAAAAAAAAAAAAAAAAAAAGGCATTTTCAAGTACCATCCAAAATCCAACTATTGAATTAATACACAAGAAATTGTGGAAGCAGACGTGAGCACTACAGCTTCAGGCTTCTCTCAGAGAATTTTCTGCAGACTGTTTCCTCATTAAACAGCAAGATTTCTTTGAAATAACAATTCATCCAAATATCATTTGCTATTAAACATGCATTCTAAACAATAAAAAAAAGACGACAGAGAACTGAAGCAACAGTAGTTTAGGAAAGCACAGCTGAGAGCTCACTGGATTTTACATTTAATCCATTACAAAATATTTATGAGACTTTTGAAAGGGTGGTGGGGTTGGGTTTTTGGTGTGGTGGGTTGTTCGGTTGTGTGGGGGTTTTTTGTTTGTTTGTTTGTTTTGTTTTTGTTTTTTTGTTTTTTTTAAGACACTTGGAAAAAATATCTATTCCTTAAAATTCGCAGCACTAATAATAACAACAAACTAAACAACTAGCCCGGGAGAGACAGTTGCACCCAACTGTGGCAAGCAGTAGAACATTTATAGAATTTTAAATATTTCTTTTAATAATTGATGTAGTCATTTTGAATCTTTCTGCATAGGATATAACGTGTGAGTAGATTGCATTAACACTGCTTAAACATTTCAACTTGTCAGTATGGCCAAGTCGATTTCTGAAATATTTGCAGTATTTTCCCATCGAAACAGTAATAAAGGTAGAATAAATATATGCCACTGCTTTATAATCACTGAACATTAATGAATATTTTATGTCTTTTTAAATCTCCCTGTTTAATTTAAAAGGGTGAAATTAAGTCTCCTCCCTGCAATATGCCAATTATCTGTAAATCAAACAATAACTTGGCCATTATACTCCTTTTTGTTAATATACCAGAAGCTAATTTGAAAACACTGAACGGCATTTTTAGGTAATAATTGAATAGTCCTTCCTGCCCTCTTGTGGTTGGCAACTGCAACTCACATAGAGCTTTTCCACGGTTACAAAAATATACCAGAAGGAAAGTAAACTATTAATTTGTTAAAGTGTGAACAAGAAAGTGAAGGAAAAAAAAAGTATCTAGCAGTCCCTGGAGAGGAGAGAGACAAGGGAGAGAAGAGAAGGAGAGATATCACTGATTCCTCCAAATCGCACAGACTAACTAGATTCATCAATCATTTGTTACAATGCTCACTCTATGCTAAAAGAAAATAAAATTAAATTAAATAGCCATTAGGGAGTTCACATACAAAACAGTGCTTGTTTTCTATAATTAGACAAATGTTCGCCAATCCTTTTACCTCAGCCAAATCCCCAGTGATTTCCACGAGACTTTGCACAGATGTATTCACCTGTTCAGCATCAGCTGCACAAGAAGGTCCAGAGTTCTCTTTTCATTTTAGCCTCTGAAATTGTCTTCATAATTTTATACACTCTATCGGATGTAAAACTTAGATACAAGACAGAAAGGCAAAGAAAGTTTTGATGCTCATGCTGGTTTTGAGGTGGTAGGGTTTTTTTGGATTTTGGTTATTTAATGGGGAAAATCATAACTGACTTTTAAATTATGTCAACTTTATATGTTAACATGTTGACTGTAACCCGCCATTAACAACAAACAAGAAAACTTCAGTGCATGTTAAGGCAGCCCAGATTCCCATGCACTGTCACAGCTTTCTGGTTCCTTTACGCTGGGTCAGACCCACCAGCAAAGTAGACCCACCAGTAGTATGCTGATATAGCATAGATAAAAACCAAACAGGCAATGTTTATGTATGTGGTTTCTTTTAGAATCCCATCATTTTAAAATTAAAAACGAATATTCTGATCATTTATTTCCATAAATATTCAAATTATTTTTAATTGTAAAGAGTCAGAGCTTGGGCCCTCAAAAACCAAACTGATGCAACTATGTTTGTTTGTTTATATTATTAAAAAAAAAAACCTTACTATAATAGGTTTAAAAAGGTAAAGTAGAAAACAGGCTTTCACGCAGGGGAAAGATCAGAATTTAGATCTTAAGAATAACAGGATTCACAACAAAACCAATTAATGATCATTTTTCATTGTTGTATGAGATACTGCTCCTATAGCTAATATTACAGAACTTAAAATAATTCTGCCTACAATGTCAGCATGTGACATGAAAAACTTCAATAAAATCTGTTCAACCCTAAAAGACTGAGAGAAGTGTCAGACCAACAGCAAACATACATTTAATTTGAAAAGCAAACATTTAATCTTAATATTTTGTAATGTGAATTCTGAAGATTCACATTTCTAGATTGTTTGTCATGTTTCCAGAAGTTAGTGGGTTATATGGAAAATAACATCCAAAACATCTGGCATTAGACATACCATGGAGCATTAGACAACCACCTTTGGCTTTAGTAAGAAGTTTTACAAATATGCAAGGACTGCTTGTTCTAAATTCAGAGGGTCCAGAGTCATATTAGAGATATTTGTTCCTATAGAACTTAATTCTGATGAAGATCTCTACGATATCACCCCTTGCTGGCCGTTCTACAGAATGGCAGTGACATCCATTATACACAAAATCATTTGGCTACCAAGGCAGTAAGAATTACAGCACTATGATAGTAACTAGTAATGGTAGAAGTGCCTACAAAATGGAGATGGAGCTGGTTAAAAGAAGGGAAGACAGAGGGAGCTTCAAGGGGCTTAAAGATCAAATGTAATTTGAATAACTGCCTTTCCTCATCACTCTAGAGCAACTCAATAAACATTGTTCATATATTTTACTACTACAATGCAAAAAGAAACATCTTTTCTGTATAATTTCATAGAAAACCTTTTTTAGGCCAAGTTCTTTAATCAAATTACAGCAATCTTGATGATCCAGTTGATTAAACCAAAAAAAGACTAATAAAATAAAGGAATATCCATCAAGACCATGTAAACCCTCTTTAACAGAGCTGGCATTAGCTATAATGAGCTACATTTATTCTTCAGCTGTGAAACAGCACTCACCTCCTGAATGGTACTGCTTCCTGAGAAGTTGAGGTTGTACTCCCGCTGGACTTCTCGATGGGTGACGATCAGCATGAAGTTTTGATTTAATGACTCCTGCAGGGCCCTGAAATGGTTGAAAGAAAAACAAGAAAATCAGGGATAAGCATGTTATAGCTTGTTTTACAGTTAGATGCAAAAACCCCAGGGTACCCTAAACTCTACATGGACAAGTCCAGGCACAACATTATCATCTCTCTTTTCACTCTTAAATGCAAGGAAGCATGCTGAGAATGACCAAAGGCCATTCCTGAACTCCTTCCTTAATAAGGCGATTGCAGCCTTTAAAGCTCTTCTAATGTTAAGTATTCTCAAAATCGAGAGAGTCACATTATCTTCACAAACATCGGGTATACTTAGCACTCATAATGCCATTAATACCAGGCTTGTAAGCATATTGATGACCAGACAAAATATCAAGCTACAGTGCACATTAAAAACTGATGGTCAGTACAACAAGGCAAAGCATGCTCTTGCTTCTCCAGGGTTACCTGAAGCATAAACCAAACGGAAATTCTTCCGCTTAGTTTCATTCAAAGCACATAAACCCAGCTAATTAAAACTGGAAAACTAACCACAGCAAAATATCTCATGTGGGTGTTGAGCATTCAGAAAAGTTAGTTCTGCTCAAATTGTTTTAAATGTACATTAAAACATCTTTAATCATATGAATTAAAAAATAATCTTAAGATACAGATTAAACAGGCCAATTATATGTTCATGTTGTCACAAACTTGGGGGGTTTTGTGATTTTTCTGGTAACAAAACATCTGGATGTTAAAAATTATGCAGCTATCTACTTTTCAAAATAGAAGGCAGGATTTCTGTTATAGACACGGCAATTACAGCTGTGTACAATCTTACACAGGCTACAAAACTGCAGCAACATTGTAACATAGCTTGGATTTCTAAACAATATTTATGCAGACTTGACCTGTTCAGTGGCATATGGAATTAAATTGGACTTATTCGATTCTTTTTTTTTCTTATCACACCCTCTTAAAAGAATGACAGACTGGGTTTTTTTCTTTCACATCTTCACTGTTCCATGACACTTCAAAACTCCATCCCTCTTAGCAATAAAGGACAAATTCTGTATGCAGATAAGCACAGCTGTATCTTAAGATACAAGAAGACAAGAAATACTGCTAGATTATTTGAGTCCTGATTTGTTAGTTTTTCCTTCTAGTGGAATTACTGAGCTGCAGTTTTGCTGCTCAGATGCTAAGAAACCCATGCAATACTCACTGGATGCTTTAGCAAGAGATGCACAATTTGCTTTAACATCTCAAGAAAAATTACCTTACAAAAATACCTTCACTCAGCAACTTAATTTGGATTCTGTGACATCTTAAGCTTAATAATCACATACTACAAAACAAAATCATGAAGTGCTATTTCTCATTTTTTATGGTTTTGTAATACGGAAGATAAATTTAACTCATTGTCAATGCTAGGTATGATCAACTGTGTGAGAGGCACTACAAATGTAACTGAAGTAAGTCACCTACGCTGAACATGAAGTTAGCTGCACTGGTCACAAAATCTTGTAAGAAAAGGCCTAAAAAATTTTAAAATACTTAACGGTCCTTCAAAAGAGGAAAAAAAAGAGTCCTGAAAAGTTGTATGCCTATTTTCTAAGGTAATTCTAATTTGATTGTTAACAGTAAGTTCAGCATCACCATAACCATATTTTCTTTGGCATATGTTCAGTAGCAACTAAAATATCCTGCTGTGCTTTTTCAGATTCTGATTTTTTATTTGTTTTCAGCAAATACTAGAGGCGAATTACATATTTAATTGCTCTGAAAACATTAATTACAACTTATGTGAATGGCTCTGGATTCCATACAGAATCACACAAGGCTCTGTTACAGCTATTTTTGACTCTATCTGAAAATCTCTAAATGCTAACTGATAAACATGACTCACGTTTTCATTCTGTAATTGATGTAAACACAGAATGAAACAGGCTAGTTCGATCAAACCCTCAGTCTCTCCAGGTATGCATGATACACACTTCAGTACTATCTAAAATACAGCATGCTAATAAAAAGCATCTGTTCATAGGAAAGGTTTTCCACTTCTCTATTTCATATGGATGTGATAGCAGAGAGTATTTAGAAAAGGAGAAAAATACTCTTCAAACACAGTTAATTTAAATGAAGTGCCTTAAAATTAAAAGCCTCAATTTTTTAAGTAACTAACAATTTTGACACCTCTACTTTTTGGATTTCTAAACAACGCAAGCTGAATATTGTTAACAAGCAAATTCTCAGTACATATTCATAGCCAAATACAGTCAAAGAAGAGGCTGAAAATTAAGCTGGCTAAAAAAAAGAAAACCCTGAAAAAATTGAGGAAAAAATTTGTTTTGAAAGTGTAAGCAAATAAAGTGCATAGTTAATTATTCACCTTTTCTTCAGAAAAATAATATAATGAGGAATATTATTTCTGCTTACACAAAAATGCAGTGGTCAACTGATCCAATCCTTTGAGCTCCTATATCAAAATCTCGTATGGTCTGACAGCGATAAGACCTGGACCATGTATGTTAGAAAGTCAATGGGAGGAGGAATTGATGGCACATCTCATGGGCAGTTTTGTGCCAATGACTTTCTACATGTCCCAGTGCTCCTCTGCGGGATGGGGTTGATTTGAACACACAGCTGGACAACCAGCAATGTCAGTCCTCTCCCATATACATTTCCTCCAGCAACTAGGGATGTAGATTACCCCAAATTATTTGTGCCAATAGAACTCTGCTTCCAAAACATACCTTGCCCTAAAATTGTATTTTCAGCAATTAAGGCTATGATCAAATGTACAAAATAAGTGTTGTTAAAGGAGACTTCTCATTGACAGTAAGCTGAAGCTTACTTTTATTTCTTTTTAGGTGCACATAACTGTATTGGGAAGACTGAATTTGAACACAATGCACATTTCTAAAATTTCGGCCTCAGTGTTTTGCATATTCCTGCAAATGTTAGCTGTTGACTACAATCTTCCAAATGAAACATCTGCATTAAAAAAAAAAAAAAAAAAAAAAAAAAAAATATCAGGGCCAAACCCCAGGTCCCATTAAAGCCAAGACAGATTTTCTTTCTTTCTTCCCCCCCCCCTTTTTTTTTTTTGCTATCGGTGCTAACAGAATTTAATTAATCTGAGAATTAATTAGTGGGAAAAGAAAATCAAATTCTAGAAACAGGATTAAAGTAGGCCACTCTTACCAGCACCATTTTCCCCCTACTGCAAACCCTAGCTTTCAAAAGCATTTGCTGATAGGTTATATACTGCCATTTTTTTTTTTTTTCCCTCAGCTGAATTATTATACATTCACTATTCAGCACAAGAGGCAAGGGAACTTGATAATATTTTTGGGCACCAATCTTCCATTAGAGGAACTCTGCCTAGACCCAAAAAAGAAGTCCAAGAAAATAGACCCGAGCACAGTCATTGCTCTGACCAGTTCTAGCAAGAGAGGCTTGGACCAGTTTAGGATTTCATATGGATTGCCTATATAGCATTGGTTATCGGCATTATCACAATGCACAGAAACCTCAGTGGTGGACCAGGATTCAGCTGGGGTTGAAACTCTACAATATGCAAGCAAAAATGTTCGTCTTTGAAACTTACATTTCAAGCAATGGAAGTTGCAAGAATTTTTTTTTTTTTTCCACTAAACTCAAAATATCAAAACTCAATTAAGGGTCTGGAAAGAGTTTATTCACTAGCTACTCCATCCAAATTCCAATATAAACCACAAGTCTAATAAATTAAGAACAGAAACAATATTTAGCCAAAAAATGTGTAACTGCAAATACTGCTAATCTTAGCGTAACAGCAACTGTTCAAGCAGTTGAAGCAAGATGGTACTAATACTGATATTTATTTATTTTAAGCTTCCACTTTTACTGCTTTTCTATTGTTCTGTAACACTTATTATATAAAATAGATTGGTTGTATCTATTGTTAAGTGACTGCCTTAATGCTTTGATTTTTGATGTAATACTTTGCTTTTTAATAGCATTTTCCCTTGAAATTTTAGTAATATTTTAAGCTTTGAAACCAAAAGTATATCCTTAATCAATGATCAGCAAATGCTCCTTTTCATTTCAGTTCTGTAAATTTTTATGAAATACATTCAGTATTTCCCATTAGGCAGTATCTTTCTCAGTCACATGGAGATTTCCCCCAAAATCTCTGAATTTTGTATAAATAGGTATGAGACAGGGTAATTAACATTTCCATTTTAAACTTACAGATTTATACAAGCTCATGTCAACAGAAGTCCAAATTTACTGTAATTACAGATTATTTACATTAAAACAAAATAAGAAATCAGTATGTAAATGTAATGTTTGTTGTAGCTAATGCAGCAGGAGGTGGTAGATTAGGTTCAAACAGCAATCAGTTAGCAAATCTGGCTACCATGTAAATGAGCAGACGCCCTTTTGTTTACATTCTATTGCATTTTAAACTTCAGGATTTTTAAACTGTCTCATGAGCAGATGTGAAAATAAAACATTAATCTTACCATTCTTATTGAAGCTTTCAAAGTAACTAAAGCAAGGCACTGCTCCTGTCCAGCTAAACAGACAATACTAATAATTGGAGTTGCAGGTTACATCGTTCTTAATTAACACTCTGCTACAGTTGATAACGTACAACAAGACACCATGCCACAATCACCACTGCTCTGCAACAATCTAAAACACAGGCAGTCAGCAATATATGGATCCATTACTTGAAAGATTGGGGTTGTGGGGTTTTTTCCTATCCACACAGATGGTTACACTTCTTAAATAGGTTACAATCACTTAGCAAAAATACATTATTTGTAATAATCTCCAAGGTATGCACCTGGTCAAATAGCTTTTAAACTGTTTTAAACTTTCCAATGATTCATCAGGTATAATAAAAGTATCTAAGACTTTCAGCTATTTAGCAAAAAAGTATAAATATAAAATACATTATATCAATTAAAATGACACCGAAGAAAAAATTGATAAAAAGCGTCTCCCAGAACATGCAAGATAAAAAGGAGAGACGATCCGGATGACCTAGCTCCGTGGCCAGACTTGCATGCCTATACTTTTGATGCTCCCCTCTTGCATTCTCCTAAAACTTTTCCCTGACCTGGGTATCGCTGGCTTTCAAGAAACACCCGAGGCAACAAAGGGAAGAATTGCACTCTGAGGAGGCGAAGAATCTAATCTGACAAAGCTGGTGCAAGGGATCTCTCTCTCCTTGGACAATTAACTGATGGACATTCTTTGGCACCTTTCCTTTTAATACTGCTTTCCAAAGGAAATCATGTTCTTCTCCACCCACCTGTCCCATCTGGTAACTTTTGAACATATTCACGAGTTTCTAGGAGGTCTGACAGTGTTATAAAGGTCTCAAAGATTGGGTGTAAATCAACAGCGGGGTAGAGGAAAGGGACCCAAATTACTACCCACCTTAGTAAAAGGCTGCATTACAAGCGTAGTATTCTATACTCCATCCAGCTGACCTCTGGCCAATGATCTCAGAACTACCCACAGCATATAATTTCACCTTCCTTTGATATTACCTGACTACCAGCTGGAGAACAGAGGCAGGGTAGGTTGACTGTCTATGCAGGGCAAAAAAAATTACATAGGTGCTACAAAATACATGGGAAGAACTGGAGGCAGTGTCAGAGGTAGGTGAGATCACGAGAAGCATGGAGGGAGAGGGCTGTTACTGCAGGTGCTGGAATGAGGCAGGAATTCACTAGAAATCAGGTTTCATTACGTCCATACCTCACAGAACACGTTATTTTTCTGGATGTCGTGCATGGATAAGAATGGCTTTGCCAACTGAAATTGTGGAAGCAGGGCATGTAACCCTACAGGTGGTATTTGACATTTAAATTTAATCTTTACACCTCAATTTACTAGCATGCGGTAGTAATTCACTGGATGTCTATTATCTACAAAAGCTTTAGATATGCCACTGATGAATGAAGATACCCTAGGAGATTTTTGCTTGTTTAAACTGCAGGATCACTTTGCCATTACATTTAGATGCTCGTTTTAAGTCAGTTCTGGGTTAAGCCCATTCAGTCTGCCACAATAAACTTCAGTGCCTACATACCAATACGTTGAAAAAGGATGTTTCAGACACTGTTCTCCCTCAGTGTCAAGAACAGGCACAAATTGGAGTTTATAGAGCTGTGACCAGATTGCTCCTTTTAAGAAGGGCATATACATAAAATATCATGTACTGAAATCTCAGGCTTTTCAAATATCATCTTGTGGAGATATTCAAAATCACAACTATTTATCTCTAGTTCAAAATAGAAGGCATTTGAAGAAAACAACAGATGAACTCACAAAGTAAGAGGCAAAGTTCCTTAACATCCATTAATAATAGATGTGAGCATGATGCTTTTAAAAATCGTGGGTAACAAACTAATCTGAATAATAACTGACCTAACAGTAGGCAGTAAACAGTGTAACTGGGTTTGGTACATTGCTTCAATTAGATGTGTTTTGATCTGCATTGATGCTTTAATTGGAGGCAAGCCTCCCCTTTCATCTAGAATTTATGACTCTGAGGAGATGATCTAGCCTTCAAATTATCCTTGTTTAAGTAGCCACTAATTAATCATCATTTGCTATCCCCAAAGCTACCAACTTTATCTTTAAAATATCCAGAACTAATCTCTACTATGAAACAAGTATAAACTTTAAAGGTAACAACCACTTTGATTTTACTAGCAAGTAAAGTTCTTCTAAACTATTCATCCAATAAAAAAGCCTAAAAACGGTTTTTAAACAGTTTGTTGTTATGTAATTTATTGCAGTTGCAATAAACAACATTCTTCAGACCCCAGTTTTCTTTCTGGAATCAAAGACGTTCAAATTACAATATAAGTGATACCTGGGTAGAAAATTTTGAAATTGGAAATGGATTTAAAAAAAAAAAAAAAAAGTTTAGTATCTACAGTGTTTTTCCACAGCATTTTCACTGTCCTTCAATTAGCTGCTTAAGTACAATGGCTTATTGTCCTCACACATAACTACAGCTCCTGCGTGCACATACAGTGTGAATTGTAGTTCACATATAGCCCACCACCACTCTGCTCCCTCTGTTCCAGTGCCACTATTCCCTCTCTTAATGCTTTTCTTTATTATTATTATTTTTATAATTCATATCAGCATTCTTATTTCCTCCACAGACTGCACGGTTATGTGCACAAGTACCTTTTAGTAATATATGAAGTACTTTTAGTCATTAGGAAACCAGTTATTTATTTCCATTGATTGTCAAAGGATTTCCTTCCTCAGTGGTACGACTGCATTTGTAGAATTTCCTCCTATCGACTACAACAGCAGAAAAACAACTCCCTCTTCAGACAGCCTGAAGGCACTCTAGTCTGACGACCATGCAGTTTGACCCACTCCAGGCGCAGCCCGCCCCGCCGGCTGGCGGGCCCGGGGCCGCGCTGCTCTTCAGGCCCAATTCCCGGGCACCCTCTAGTGGCTACCGAATAAAATTAGCGTTTTCCTGGTACAGAGCGCATACAGGTCTGCCTTTGAGAAAGGGAAGGGCAGGGAAGAAAACAAGCCAAAGTAATCAAAGTAACTGCAAATTACTTTATAAGAGTAAAGATTCCACTTTCTATAAGATAACATTTCATTTTCAAACCCTAGCAATATTCACTGACATATGAACACTCACCATTAACTTTTTGAATATTCAAATCAGTAATAAAAGATATCCTGCTCAGTTAGAGGAAATTAGTTATTCAGCCTACCTACATGCATTTTAAAAGTCCAAGAAGATAAGATAAAATAATGAAACAAACATTTCAGAAAGAAAATTCTGATCTGCTGACAATTATTTATACAAGTTTACATTAAATGAACCAACATAACGCAGTAATTTATGAAAGGCCAGCTCTCATTACCACAGGGACTAGATTTTTGTTAAATTAAAGTCATCACATCTGGGAGGTGTAAAATTCTGTATGTACCCAAGTGGTTCATGTACCACACCAAGGTTTTAAAAAACTTAACAACCTTCTTTTCAATAATGAGGTTCTGAGGTAGGTCATCCCAACACTTACTAGAGCAGTGAAAATACTTTGTATTTACTGATTGCAAATTCCTGCAAGGATACATGTGGCTTCATAAAAAACATAAAAAACCAAATCATACAAGTAGAATTTACAGCCAAAAGACTTACCCAGAATGACTTGAAGAAGGAGGAGGCAGGTCAGGTGTTAGAACATAAAGACTATTATTTTTTGGCAAGTGTAGAGTTTTTAAAACAGTCTGAGGGGAGAAAAATCATTATAAATATAAAACATTCACCAATTTTGATGTATTATTTTATTTTTTTTAATTATTGATACTTATTTACAATACCACCAAATATTTTATTTTGAATATACTTACTGTTAACTTCATAACATCCTTTTTGTAGGTGAGCCGTGTTATATATAAAAACAACACAAACTAAAGTGATTTGTCCTGATTTTTTTTTGCAATGTTTTAGTTTAAGAGTTCCTTATATGCCACCCGAGACATCTAACACTGTTTGAAACTCACAATTCTTGTATTGTAATCCCCACCCACAGATGCTCAGTTTGAAACTCTGAATTCAGTTAACTGAAAACACACTTGAAAACTTACACTATCATCTACATCTCCAGTCTTCCACCCTTTTAACAGCATTTTAGATGCAGGAATCTGAAGTTCATTTTCTAGAATATGTTTGATACCTCCTAAAGAGAAAACAAAGAAAATATATAAAATACACACACTTACTGATTTATTTCAAACAGTACTGAGTTACAGTTAAAAAACGAGAGCAAGGAAAAATTTACTACGAAAACCATTTTTGATCTAGTTACCCTTGTAATACACACTTCAAACAGTAAAGGACAAACGAAGCCCCCCCCCCAAAAAAAAAAAATCACATAAAGCATCAATGATTGGAGAATCACATGAGGATTTGACGATTTGGACATATATTTGAACAGTTCTACACTGCGTAGACATGCACATTTGCAGATGCATGCTATCTGGAGCAATGGACTTCGCCAGTTATAAAGAGGGTGCGTATTTTTGATACCCAATTCCATTACCAATAATCCTGACCTAAAGAACTGGAGTATTCATATAATTTAACTGCGCTGACAGCTTTTTCAATGTTTTGCACATTTCGATGCTCTCCTCTCCCTGTAGTTATTACAGTCATAAAATAATTCAGGCTGGAAGGTACCTCAGGAGGTCACCTAGCCCAAGCCCAGCTCAAAGGTCTAATTAAACCAGTTTAGCCAAGGATTTGTCCAGCTGACTCTTGAACACCTCTAAGGATGAAAGTTTGACAACTCCAGCCAACCTGTTCCAGTACTTCACCACTCTCACAACTCGGGGGGGG